AAAAGTAGTTGAACAAATTCAAAAAATCAAAATATAAAATTAAATAAAAAAATCAGAAAAACAAATTTAAAAAAAAATTAATATAAATGATAATATATATCTATAATAATGATATATCTGAACAAAAGCAATTTCGAATATTTTTTACATTATTATTATATTATTAAAGAAATTTTTAAAATAAATTTTTAATAATTATTTATTTAATTTAATAATTACAATATTTAATATTAAAACATTTATTTAATTTGTAACTAAATAAATATGGAATTCATAAATATATAAATGTATAAACTAACATTATTGGAAATTTTGACTATTTAAATAAATGAAATTCAATATAAAAAAGATGATTATTCTAATATTTTATTTCAATAATTTGTTATCATATTAATATCCTATTAATATAGAAAATTCTATTATAATATTACAATATTATAATAATATAAACAACTTAATATTTAGTAATATAAATAATACAAATTTATTAATGATAATAATGCAATTTCTCTAATATTTCTACTGCTAAATTGCTTTCAAAAATTGTATTTAAACGATTTTTTTATAATAAAATGATAATATAATAAAATGATTATAATAAATTGATAAAGGAACAAAGAAATGAAAAAGTTGAAATATAATATAATAAAATAATATAATAAATAATAATTTCTATAACAATAAGCTAACGTTGTAAACTTTGTTTTTATAAGAATATGTAAAATTTTCTATTTTTTCACACTTCATTTTATTGATCGAAATATATTATTTCAAATGTATTTTATTACTAATTCATAAAATAAATAATAAAACAATTATGCAGAATATAATTTTATAATTTTACGTTCCATTCATTCATGGCGTTAAAATGACCGTTGAAAAATTTTATAATAAACTTTTTCTATTGTTTGATAATGAGATTTATTGAAGACAAGAAGTGTATTTATATATTATGGATACCAACCTACGACACTCAAATTAAAAGCCTGACTGATTTTCGATTCAGTTGAAACTTGACATTCATATGTTCCGCTATCTCGAACCTGTGGTGAACTAATTCTTAAAGTCCATTCGTCAGATCCATCTCGGTGTAATGATTGGAAACGTTGATCGTTTGTATATGTTAAGATTCCCACGGTGAGAATATGTAAATCTCGTTTCCTGATCCATGAAACCTGCAACGAAACATAAAATTTTTTAAATAAATAGATTCTTGAATTAATAGAAAATTGATAGCATACAAAGAATAAATTTCATTTTATTTAAAACGATAGTTTGTATCACAAAATAGTATTTTATATTTATATTTTATATATATTTTTAATTTATATTTTTATATTTTTATTTATATTTTTTTATTTTATATTTTTTTATTTTAATTTATATTTTGTATTTTTTCATTATATTTTATTGATCGAAAATTTATAAATTAAGTTTATAAAATATAAAATTTAATTGTAACATTATATCAATTTATAATATTATTATAATATTATTTATGAAATTTGCAATTGTAACATAATATAAAATGTAAGGAGATATGTAAAATGTAAAATATTTTGATTATTCTACTACGTGGAAATATATAAATTTTTCGAAAATTTTAATTTATTAATAGTTTTTTCAAATTAAATATTAATATTTTAATACTTAATTTATTTTTAAATACATTTTATTCTTTTTAATCTCTTCATTCAAAAAAATACTATCAATGAAGAAAACAAAGTCAGCAATTCATTTAAAATTTCTATTTTTATTTTTATTATCATTTACAAATATGAAAAAAAATGTCGAAACAATAATTAGAAAAGAAAAAGGTAAAAAATGGTAAATAAATTGTTTGTGAGTAAGATACATAAATACAACAATAAATCCATATAATCTTTTACTATTGCGTTCGAATAATTTTACAAAAACGAACTGAGTATTTATTGGATAAAGCGGATGGAACGGAAACAGAATTTATGATTGTACGCTTTGGTAAATCCAGTGCAGAATTATCGAGAAAATCTTCCCCTGATACATTTTGTTCACTGAATTTTATATTACATTCAATCGCGTGTAATCGCCACAAACAAAAAAAACGAATAGAAGAGAAAAAAGGGCAAAAATATAACTATGAAATTGGAAAGAATAAAAGAAAAAGAAAAATGAAAATAGAAAAAAGAGAAGGAATCAATTTTCGAATAAAACTCTTGATGCGAAAATATTTAACTGATCTGTAATAATCTTCATTTACAGTTGCTTCTATTGAATTCAATTATCCATGACTGTAAATTTTAAGCTTGTAATTTTTCGCAACAGAAAATTTCAGTTCAATTTAAAAACAATATTATTAAAATATTATCTTCTTATTTTTGAAGAATTTAAAATATGTAAATGCTGAAGAAAATTTTGAGCAATTTTTTCACATATAATCGACAATCAGCATTAGTTTATGGGCACAATATTTTTTTATATATATATTTATATATTTTTTTATTCGTTTTATTTTTTTATATATTTTTTATACTATAATTATTAATATATATATATATTCTAATTTTAATATAAAATTTCGTTTTATATCTAATTTATATTAATTAAATATTCATTAAAGCTTATCACATCCTAAATCATTTCAATAAATAGGTTGAGATACATAAAAAAACAGTTGCAAAATTTCCATTAAATGTCGTACGTCATATTTCTATTTCTCCATCTCTTACCGAATTTTTTTGGTTTATTTTTTTTTATATAATAAATTATAACATTACGAAATCAAAAATAAAATAGATTTTACTATTAATTTATTTATTTCAATTAAAGATTTAAGATTTAAGATTTATTTATTTTTTTTAATTTCAAAATTAAACTTAAATTGTTTAATCGATATTTCTATTTCTATAATCGATTTTCTATATATTTCTATCCAATTTTTATATTTGTTTTAGTTTTTGTAATCAATTTTTTAAAAATATTTCACAAATACATATATAATAAAACATATTAAACAACTTTCTGACTTTTCATTGTTTAAAATTTATAGTGATTGGTTCATAAACTTTCTTTTTATTTTTATTTTTATTTGAAATTTTATGAACATTTAATTTGCAAAACAATTTTTTAGTAATAGAGAAAACATTAAAACATATTTTGAATATATTGGAAAATAGAAACAAAATAAAAAAAAATATTAAAAAATTCCTTTGTTAAGGAAATGGTAAAAATATTCCTTTTAATATTTTAAATGTACGAATATATATATTATATATATTGCTTAGTTATAAGTAGGAATGTATAAGTTTTATAAGTAGGGATGTATATTATTTATCGCTTATTTCATATTTTATTGTTATAATTTTTTAACAATAATTTTTAAAATAATATATATATATAGAACAATTTTTTTTATTAATGAAACATCATTTCAATGATGTTTCAAATTCAAAAAATCTTATAACTTTATAATAATAATAATAATAATATATATAGTAAGAATAATAATATTAAAATGAAATTTAATATTCAAATTAATATCAAATTAATGTTCTGTTATCTTGTTATAAAAAATTTCCAATTGAAGTTATAAATATAAAACATGAAAAAATTGTAAACATTCTCGTATTTAAAAAGATTTCATATACAAAATTTTTATTAAAATCAAAATTTTCAAAATATATGAATTTTTTGTAAATTTTTTTACACGAATATCTTTGTAAATAACTTTTTTATTTCTTCAAAATTATTTACTTGAAACATTTAACTATTGCATAAAAAATCTGATAGGATATTTTTATCCTTTCTTTATGACAAACCAAATTCTAAAAATTGTTCATTTAATAGTTTAATATCAAATCAGCATCAATTCATAATAATTATTAAATTATACATTTATGTATTTAAGTAGAAATATTTTTATTTAATATTAATAGCATAGCATGGACATATTATTGTACTGCTTCGCTAGCAATCTGAATATTTTAATCACATGATTATTATTCTCCTACGAATATTTTATCTTATTACGAAATATATATTTTTTTTTCATTTTTTTTTGTGATTAAAATAACAATATCGCGTTGATATCATGTTAAATAATGGATAATAATAATTAATAATAGATTGTAGATTTTATATAAATATATTGTTTTATATATTTTATATAAACAATATAGTATAATAAAAATAAATGTAAAATAAATGTTAAATATTTTTATTTAATATTTTTTTGTAATATTAATTTAACTTGCATAATATTTAAATATAATTTAAATATTAAATTAATATTAAAAAAATTTAGTTTTATTTTAAATATAACTTTTAATATATAATATAGTATATAAGATTGTATAATGTAAATGTATAAGAACTGAAAAAATTTTGAATAGTTCATTCACGAAAGAAGTAGAAGAGATTGCAATGTACTGAAATATTACTATATTAAGATTCTAAGATAGTGTAAAGAGTTCTTTTATAATGTACAATTTTTTCAGCTCAATCCATTTCAAATAAACAATAATAATTAGAAGTAGAGTATTCTAATAGTAATTAAAAAAAACTGAAAAAATTTTATTTTTATAATATTTATAAATTTTATTATAAATAAATATAAAATTTATAATAAATAAATATAATTGTAAAATGATATTTTGCAAATCATTATATCCTATTGATATAATAATTTGATATAATTTGATATAAATTTTAAATAATATGATATATATAACATAATGTTTCATTTTGTTTTAACTGCAAAAAATTCACAATTAACTATTAATATGTAATATGTCGATGCCGCTCTGCTATAGTGTTAGTAAATAAATAATTATTATTTATGAAAATTACTTATTACTGAGCTAATTTAGTATGTAAGTAATAAGTAAAAATATGTTCGCATATAATTCAAAAATTTAGATAGTCTAGGATAACACATCCTATAAATTTCAATGTTTATGTATCTGAATATTTTGTTTTATATTTTTATACAAACAGGTTAAATTTATTAAAAAAAAATTTAACTTTGATCTTTTTTTATAATTGTTAAGGAATACTCTATGTATTTTATTATATATATAAAATTTATGACAATATATTATTGTCATTTATATAATTTTAAAACATTAAAAATCATAAGATATAATTTATATAATTTTAGATTATATGCATAAAAAAATATATGTTCAAAATATAATTGTCCTTAATAATACATATTTTAAATTCATTGAAATCGATAGTGAGATAGTTTTCTGACAAGTTCATCCAATTTAACTTTCGTCAAATATAATTAGAATATACTAGAATCCTCGGAAATAAGTGGCTTATCAGAGAAACGTTACTTTGTGTTGAAATAGTGTTGAAAACAAAATTGATATCTTCTGTCCTTATAGGAAATTGTAGTGAGACGAGATTTGCCTATTACGTGTCGATTGAGAAAAATGCAGAAATATTGTACATTTTTCTACAATTTGCATGTTTTGTTCTAATAAATAAGATGTAATATATTTTCTTTATTTTTAAGTATAAAATTATTTCTTTTTCTTATTTTTGCATTAAAATTTATTTCGAATAAAATTAAATAAATTTCTTCTGTTTATTATTTTTAAGATATAATTATAATTAAGATATAATTAAGAAATATTTTAAATTTTCTTTTATATAAATTATATAACATAGATTTTATATAAGATATAAGATAATCTATAAGCCGTCTAAAGTTAAATATTTTATATTTAATATTTCAATTACGATAATAAAAAGAAAATATTTGTATGCAATATAAATAGTATCACAAGATGAATTTTCTGCAAGAAATATTTTTCTTCCATTTTAAAAATAAACTTTATTTCTACTGAAAATATTATTCGGAAAAATTTTTATAATTTATTGCAATTTATAATCAATAAATAAATAATAAATAAATAAATAAATAATAAACTATAAAACTATTTAAAATGAAATTATTTCTTATACATAAAAAATAAAAAATGATAACACAAGATATTTTATATATTTATTTAATTTAAATGTTTTATTAATTTCAAAAAACTGTATTTTTGCAATAAAATAATTTTAATTTAAAATAAAATAACAAATATAAGTGAACAAAATTAACATTTATATAGAAACGAAACAATTATATAGAAATGAAAATTAAGCTTAAAAATTAACTAAGTTTTTTATTAAGATAGGATAA